TATTTCCTTCGTTTTGTGTTAAAAAAAAATATTTACTACCTAAATCATATCATATCATATCGTATTATATCACTAATACATAAATCAGGTCTCCCAGCCAGGCCACGAAATAACGACACTTGATATTCCAATTTTTTGCCTAGTGTCGCACCACGAAGATGACAAAAAGGTGTTACTAGTATAGTACCCGTGCAAATTGCATGATTTTAAAAGTTGATGTATTATATATGCTGAAATTTGAAACTAAAATTAGCTTACTGTTAGTTATGGTTTTTATCATGTTAGTACCCGTGCAAATTCACAGATATATATACCCATTTTATCATGGTATTGTGTATCAGAATTTTAATTAAATGTAGGATTACAAAAAAAAAAATTGGAGATATAAAAAGATTTATGGCCTTTACATATTTTACCTTTTTATATTCGGATGACTCATGCTCATTTATATATATTATATGTTACCAGCAACTTTTGTAAGTGAACAGCTAACACTCAATGATACAAGTAACCCTTGACCACGACCGAGTAACCCTTGACTGAGTAATCCATAACTAACCAATGAGTAACCCCTGACTGAGTAATCCATGACTAACCGATGAGTAACCCCTGATCTATCGAGACTGACCAAGTAACCCCTAATCAAGTTACCTCTGACTGACCAAGTAACCCCTGGCCAAGGGAATAACCCCCTGCAAACACCCAAATGTGTCTCACCAAAACCAAACCAAGTTATGAATACCTTTCACGTCATTTGATTATCGAACGAAGTGAAAGTGTGAAAAGTCTAGTGATGTGGTTGTTTTTATCAAAATATCTCTCTTTCTGTTTTTGAAAATATTTCTTTTTATACACTATTTATGAAAATAGCCAATCCAATTTAGTTAGGTTCATGATAAGGATCCAATAATAGTGTAGTTGGATTGGGCTTGAAAAGAGCTTTCCAACGATATATTACAAGCCCAATTCCGAAAAATAATGAGGAAGTTATGGTCAAGATACTAAATTGAGCTTGAAATGAATTTTATATGCAGTCTAATGATCTAGAATAGGGCCTATTATTAATTTTTATTCCTAAATTTATTAGGATTGATTTTAATCTTCTAGAATAATCTAGAAGGTCCTTCTAAATTCTAATGGAATTAGGATTGATAATTATATTTTAAAGAGTTTTACTTGGAATAAAATAAGTATTTTACCATAAACCCAATTTTAATTTGATAAACGCGGAATTTGCTGCTTAATCATATAAGAAGAGGATTCCGCGTGGAAAGTGCGTTTTATTTCTGACTCAGCGCAAGACAACAAGCCTGTCGCCTGGCACTGGTGCTTGTCGTCTGACGCTAACTCCCGTCGTTCACGACAAGAGGTATTTTATTCCGAATGGGACTTGATTTGGTTTTGACCGGTTTTCGACCTATTTTCTATAAATAGGGGTCGTATCTCCATTTTTTTTATTCATTCACAATCATCATCTCTCTCTATTTTCTCTCTCTAAAGCTAGAAGCTTATTCCCTCTCTATTCTTTTTCTAAACCTTTCCCTAATACAAAATTCCATATACATTAGTTCTAGACACACCTAGCCAAGTTCGAAATTGCCTTCACCCTAAACGTGAAAGGTTGATAATTTCTGAGGGTTTGGCCCCAAATCTCCCTTTCAATTATTTAATTTAATTATTTGATTTAATATTTTCCTTGAAGTTACTAACGTGTGTATTTTGTTATTAGAAAAAGATATGAGGCATCTAAGTAAGTAATTTAATTACTTTATTGATCTTTTGATAAAGAAATCATGCTTTGATTATTTTAATTCCTAGTATCATCTTAAGATGTTTTTATTGCTTCCTAGTATCATGTTTAGGGTATTAACTAAAATTTCTAATATCATGTGTTGCTAGTATCATGTTTAGGTGGCAACCTATCCTTTTTAATATCATGTTAGTACCATGTTAGGGATAAAGCTTTGATTTTTTAATGTTTAGTGACATGCTAGTATTTGTTATTAATCTTGTTAATATCATGCCTAGGATCTTGCTAATATTATTATGCTTTATTGAGATTATTTTATTATTATGTTGCTTGATATGTATTATTTATTGTTATTGCTTGATCACGCCTTTTATGCATGTTTAAAGGGAATTTGTACTTGTAATCATGGTTAATAAGATAATTAATAATTTTGTTTAGGTTAATATGTTTATAATTCAAGTGATCGCCAATAATTGATTTGTTTGTGCATTAAAATTCAACCAACATAGATTAAAAGATTTTGGGTTAACCTAATGATTGCATGTTAGTCAGAAAGCGCACATGAATATGAGAAGAATAAAGTAGAGGCCTATTATTAGAGCATGTTCAATCTCTTTTAGGTTGGATTTGTACCTTCATCCTCGAATATCCAATCATGGTTTCAGACCACTATGGAGTTAGCGATCTCATGGATCGTGAAGGGGTGTAACCTTCACCCTGTGAACGATTTACAAGTTTCTAAAACTTGTTGGCAACTCTTTTACTCTAGCTTCCTTTCCTTTGGACGCCACCATGCTTAAGTGTATGATCACAGTGAGGCTCATGTGTGGGATGCTTGAAATATTCCCTACACCCCCGATCAATTTTTTTTTAATGTGGCCTAACTGATTTTGTAGCATCTTATGAAACTTTATGATTACCTTTAAACTGTGTACTTTAGGTTTAATCAACATAATAACACTTTCTCGCTATCCCAGGCCACAATGTGGTCACAAAATTATACACTATCAATTATCTCATCATTTCTAACATATCTAATAAAATTTTCATGGTTTAAGAAAAATGAATTGCACTATTTTAAAAATTCTTATACTGTGTATATATTTTAAAATTACATCATCAATAATGATGAAGTGCAAACCCATGACCCATTGTTAAAAAAAAATACATGCTCGTAGTGCAATTAAGAATTTTCACGGCTTAAGATCATGAATCTTGCTTAAGATCAAATATTGCTATTCAAAAAAAAAATGTTAAGATCAAATATTAAGAAGGTAATAAAAATATTTAGATGTATAATATTATAAGGAAGTATAATCAAAGATTATATCCTGATTTAACACGCATTATCATAAGAAGGAAGTAGGTACATTATGGTAATAGGTAAATGTGTATAAAATATTTATATTATTTTATAACATATAAACTTTGATTTAGTTTCTATATTTAGGAGTGAAAAACGAAGCGGAAATTTTTTTAGCAATAGCTCGATACGTGTCAAAGTATAGTTAGAGTGGAGCTTCGAGTGTCCTCTGTTTTAGTATATATATAGATTAATGTTGTATATAGTTTTATTATCACTATGCTTCTAATATTTCATATATACAAAATAAATCATAATTTTTAATAAATATCCTATAACTCGGTTTTATTTCTATCATAAAATTCATTTCAAAAAGTTCTTTAAAATGAGACCAATTAATAATATATTTAATTTAGTTAAAAAAAATATAGAATTAGTAAAAATAATTTTGATTTGGTAAAATATCTTTCATTTCAGTAAAAAATAATTTAAATTCAATAACAATAATTTAAGTTCAATGAGTCATACCCGCTAGGGTGGGGGGAATTCATGCGTGAAATTGGTGACTTTCTTGGAGGTTTTATCGAGTTCGATGAGTCAGACCTGCTAGGGTGAGGGGAATTCATGCGTGTGAAAGCTCTGCTAGACATAGAAAAACCCTTGCGAAGGGGTTTGTTCCTGACCAATGGAAATCATCTTCTAAGTTGATTACCATCAAGTATGAGCGAATTATGGAGTTCTGTTTCTTTTGCGAAAGATTAGACCATACTTAAAGTAGCTGCTCGTTCAAAGAAGAATCGAGGGATGATTGTAGAGACATAGTCTTCCCATATGGTCCATGGCTTAGAGCTTCTCCTAGGAGGACAACACGTCATTCGGATTTTGAAGTTGAGAAGGAGAGGAAACTAAAAGTGGAGTTAAAGCACCCTAGGAAGGGAAGAGCTCATGGTTACTATGATGATGCTGCTATTAAACTTGGCCCTCTTGAGGCTGCACGCAGACTTCATTTCTCAACCCCAATCCGAGAAAAAGGTCAAGCAGTTTTGCCATGATCAAGGGAAGATGCTCTAGTCCCTGTGGTTGATGAAACAAATTCGAGAACTGTTCTCCAAATAATGAGTGTGGCAGAGAAAGAGCAGCAGGGGAAAGCTGGGGAACCGAATCTTTTAGCACCGAATGTAGACTTGGACAAGTGCAAAAATTTGCTTAAGCAGATTGTGAGGCAGGAGGAGGGGGTCGTGGAGATGGAACATGATTTAATTCTAGAACATCCTCCACAAGTGAATATAGGGAAGAGGAAAGTCAGAATTGCAAAGAAGAATATGAGCGAGAATGTGATGAATTCCAATGCTGCCTTACCCCCATCAGGAGTTGCTCAAAAGAAAATTTTTTATGCTGTTTTGGAGGAAAGCGAACGAGATGTATATGTGGAGCCTAAAAAGAAACAGAAAATAGTCTGAGAATCCTTTGTCGGAGATAGGATAAATCAATTAGAAGGTGTTGGTTTTGACCAGCCCCTCGAACAGCAATGAAACTTTTGTGTTGAAACGGTCGAGGAGCTGGCAGACCTTGAACAATTCGAGCACTCCGTCACTGGAGTAGAAAATTATGCCCAAATATTATTTTTCTGTCAGAAGCGATGATTGATCACAAGAGGTCAGAAGGTTTGAAATTGAGATTTAATTTTTCTATGGTTGTTGGTGTAGATAGTGTAGGGAAGTCGGGAGGTTTATGCATTTTTTGGAGAGAAGGAGTGGACTTTGAAGTTGTGTCTTATTCGAATCATCACATATGTGGAGATATTAAGGAGGTAGGGGGAAGGAAATGGAGGTTTGTGGGAATTTATGGGTGGGCGGATAAAGCACTTAAAGGGAATACTTGGGCTCTGATTCGGGCACTCTACCTCGACTCTCCTTATCCAGTCGTTTTTAGAGGCAATTTAATGAAATGCTCTGTTCACAAGAAAAATCAAGAGGTATTGTTAGAGAGCAACAAGTTATGGATGAGTTTAGACGAGTTCTTGATATGTGTACTCTTAAAGACTTAGGCCATGATGGGTCTTGGGTTACTTGGGAGCGTGGAAATTCTGAAAATTTGATTGTCCAAGAGAGATTAGACCGATTTGTTGCGTGTATAGGGTAGACATCATGGTTTAGCAATGCAAGTGTCAAGCACCTGACAAATTTGGTTCGGACCATGTAGCCATTCTTCTTGATACTTCAGCAGCTCAGAAAACGAAAAAGAAGCCCAAAAAGAAATCTTTTAGATTCAAAACTGGATGGTTACTTAAAGAGGGAATGGAGGATGTGGTGAGGGAGGCGTGGGGGGACTCTCGACATCTAATTATGCCTCACAAACTGGAGATGGTGGAACAAAGCTCACGGCTTGGAGTAAGGACTCTCTTGACAATCTTGGCCCGAAAATTGCAGAGGAAGAGGACTCTCTTAAAGCAGCTCAGATTAGTCATGGCGGCACTTTGAATTTTTCCAAATGTTCTCGACTTGAAGCCCTCCTAGATGACCTCCATGAGAAAAATGAAGCGTATTGGTACCTTCGCTCTAGAGTCTCGGAAATTAAGGATGGTGACCGCAACACAAGCTACTTTCACCACAAAGATTCACAACATAAGAGCAAAAATTATATCAAGGAGCTTGAGGATGCACAGGGAGTATGGAGAATGGGGGAGAAAGAGGTTGAACAGATTATTATGAATTTCTATAGCTCACTTTTTGCAGCAGGAGATATTGAAGACAATATGATGAATGAGGTACTTGCTTGTGTACCAAATCTGATCACCGAAGGTATGAACCTTTCTTTGTGTCGCAATTTTTCCAAAGATGAAATTCATATAACTCTGTGATGATGTGACTATTTTTTGTGAATAATATTATTTCTGGTAGAATCTCTCCTAGTGTGATAAACAGGACAAATGTTGCTCTTACTCTGAAAGTGAAAAATCCCATAAGCATTACTCAATTATGCCCTATTGTGTTATGCATTGTTCTCTACAAGTTGGCTTCTAAGTCTATGGCTAATAGGCTTAAACCTCTCCTCCAAAATATTGTGACTGAAAACCAGAGTGCCTTTGTTCCAAAGCGCTTGATCACCGATAATGCCCTTATTGCTCTTGAGCTTTTCCATACTATGAAGAAGCGTGCAAAAGGTAGAAGAGGTTATGCGGCTATGAATTTATACATGAGCAAAGCTTTTGACCGGGTTGAGTGGGATTTCCTTCGGAGGCTTCTTACAAAACTAGGCTTTGCCGGAGCTTGGGTTGATACCATCATGGCCTTTGTTTCCACGGTCGAATACTCCTTCATCATAAACGATGAACCCATGACAACTCTTACTCCTTCGAGGGGGCTTCGGCAAGGTGATCCTATTTCACATTACCTCTTTATCTTAGTTGTTGATGTCCTATCTAGGATGATACAGTTGGCTTCGGAGAAAAAACAAATTCATGGTGTGAAGGCAAGCAGGAATGGCCCCGAGATTACTCGTTTGTTTTTTTTTTTTTTTTGCAGATGATAGTCTCTTATTTACTAGAGCAACCCGACAGGAATGTTCAATCATTGTTGATATTCTCAACAAATATGAAGAAACTTCCGGGCAAAAGATCAATTTAGAAAAGTCGGAAGTCTCTTTTAGTAAAGGTGTTCCCTTTCACTTAAGGGTCTCTTTGAGCTCGGTCTTTGGTATGGAAATGGTTGATAATCATGTGAAATATCTTGGTCTGCCAACTGTAGTGGGGAGATGGAAAAAAAGCCGTGTTTTCTTTTGTGAAGGAGAGAATTAGGAAGAAAATTCAAGTAGGAAGAAAATTCAAGAGCGGGCAAGGAGGTGTTATTGAAATCCGTCATCCAAGCAATCTCGACTTATCTTATGGGGGTTTATAAATTTCCCTCAACTTTGGTACAAGAAATACACTCCATGATGGCTCGGTTTTGGTGGGGTTCGAATATGAAGGAGAATAAAATTCATTGGAGAAGTTGGGATTTCCTATGTCAACCGAAATGGCTTAGAGCTTTGGGTTTCCGGGATTTAGGAGTCTTCAATGATGCTTTGCTGGGAAAACAAATTTGGAGACTTGCGTGCAATGAAAATTCCCTTCTAAGCCGAGTTTTCAAGGAAAAGTACTACCCTAACACCTCCGTTTTTGAAGCTGCTTTGGGGCCTTGTTCAAACTACTCTTGGCAAAGTATTTGGGGATCGAAGGCTCTTGTGCTTGAGGGGCTTGCTGTGGAGAGTTGAGAATGGCAGGAAAATCAAGGTGTGGGATGAATCGTGGCTCATTTATGATGAGAGACGGTTTTTCACAAGCGAGAAAAAGTATGATGAGTGTAATTTTGTTGCAGACTTGATCTCTGAAGATAATAAAAGTTAGGATATGGAAGGTGGATAACATTTTTAATCAGAGGAATAAGCAACTGATTTTAGCCACTCCATTGAGCGATAGGCTGCCCATGGATACGCCTACCTGGGCCTAGTTGAAAGACGGTTGCTATGAGGTGAAGACTGCATGTCTTCTAGGTAAGTCTTGTTTTCTTGAGAATTTTGAAAAATTCTGGGTAGAAATCTGGAAGGCCGAGGTAACTCCAAAAGTAAGACATTTTCTTCAGAGATTTTGCATTAATTCCCATCCTACCCGAAACATTCTTCTGCATAGACACTTGATCAACGTCCCTAGATGTCCATGTGTGGCTATGAGAATAAATCTTTCATTCATGCCCTTATTACCTGCCCAAGTACTCGCGTCTTCTGGGATAAAACAAGCTGCTCTGCTGCTTTGGATGTTTGGGAGGCTAATTCTTTTGGCGAGCTCTTGCTACTGTGGGTGGAGAAGCTGGAGCGGGACATCGTTCAACGCTGCTTATTTTTGGTGTGGTTCCTTTGGAACAGACGCAACAAATTAATCTTCGAGAATTACCATGAGTATGATGACATCCTCCTCCAACGTCACATTAAACTTGTTGCTAATTTTAACGTATATAATGAGAAGATTTATGGTGGGATTAGTCTCCAACAAGAATGCACCAGGAAGATTTAGCAGCCCTGCCCCCTAATGTTGTTAAAATCAATGTAGATGCCTCTACTAAAGATGAAGGGTGGATTGGTTTGGGGCCGGGTGGTGGCTCGTGACAGCTTGGGTCATGTTCTGTTTGCATTTATTAGGCGTATTAAGGCCCCCTTGTGGCTGAGTGCAAGGCAGCCCTCCTTGGTGTAAAGAAAGCACGAGGTTTCGGTTTTGACAAAGTGATTTTAGATTCTGATTCTCAGATTATGGTTTCCAAACTCAAGAAGAACTCCTTCAATATGTCACCAGTGGACAATATCTTAGAGGAGACCGTTTTATCTAGTTCTAGTTTTCATTCTCTTTTATGGTCTCATGTAAAGCGGGATGGCAATGTCGTAGCTCACCATCTTGCTAGAATAGTGTTGGTTGGTCTTGAACAATGTTGGGTAAACCATGCTCCTAGTGCCCCGTATGTATTAGTTGATTATCTTACTATGATTCAATAACAATAATTTTGTTCTATGAATAAGCGATAGGATGTCATGTCTAAATATCCTGCATTATCAAAAGTCAAAAAATTTATCCTAATATTTTAGCAACAATTCGTGATCGCCCGGACACAAAACAAATAATAACTAATATATAAAGCTAAAATTTTAACCAGGTTACGAGACAGTGACACTTGGTGTTCCAACTTTTTGTCAAGTTTCGTGCAAGGTAAGCAACAATTAAACATTAGTATGGCACATAGGATTTTTTTTAGATATATTTTTTATGAATAAAAAAGTTGTATTTTTTAATAGGACAAAAATAGGATAGATTTTGTAGGATAAAAAAAAAATTTAGTGTCGAGTTTTATTTTCAATAAATTTCAATAGATTTATAGGATAAAATTTTTAGTTTAGATTTTTATTTTCGATAAAATAGCTATATTTAACAGATACTCCCTCCGTTTTTAAATACTTGCTCCATTTTTTCTATTTTTTGCACTATTCATGTTTGTGATTTATACATGAGAAAAAATAGTCTTGTGGATACTTGTTGGAATCATCTCAATGAACAGATTATTAATTTTCAATTGTCAGAATTTACACTTATTGATAATTAAAGATATTAATGATCAAAGATTAGCATCAGCATGCGTGTCCAAGAGAAATGGAGCAAGTATTTAAAAACGGAGGGAGTACAAAATAAAATATAAGTTTATCCAAATCACGAGACAACGACACATGATGTTTCAACTTTTTACTAAATGTCGCGTCATGTATACAACATTTAAATAATTTATCATATAAATTTATTTTTATACCATATTTTTTTTAAGCAAGGAAATAGTTCACAACGTAGAACACTCATGTATAATATATCATTATCGATTGAAATAAAATACTTTACAATCTAATATGATTTTATTAGATTATGTAAAACTGTTAATCGGGTCGGCTCGTAGGTCGTTTCGATCAAGTTACTGCAGGTAACGGGTCAAGAAATGTTCACACTAGCCCAAAATTTTGAATTTAGGCCTAGCTAACAGGCTTAGAACAATTTTTCTGCCCGAAAGCTGCTTCGTATACGTTGAGTATATCAACTATCTTAGAGCATTCCTCTCGATTGGCTCTAGTAAAAAGAAGAGTGTCGTCAGCAAAAAAAAAAAAAGATATGAAACTTTTGGCTCGTGTCTACTAGAACAATTTTTTTATATAATTTATTTTTAGAGTTAATATCACAATCAGGCCCTCAATTCTTACTTTTTTTAACTCTTTGGGTACTCAATTTATTTTTTTCACTCTTTGGGTACTCTAACCCAAAATCCGACCAACTAACTCACCTTTAACTCACCGTTAACTATAGGTAATTAAATTTGATAAAAATAAAATGCATAAATTAAACTAATCTGTTTTCAAAAAATAGCCATAGGAGGCTTTTAAAATTAGTTTACAACAGGAAAAATAAAAAAAAAACCCCGTAAAAATATCCTTCCAAACAGAAGGAAAAATAAATAATATCAGTAATGCAAAATTGAGAGCAAGATTTCCCAATAAAAAAAATAAAAATAAAAAAACTGAATAAGAATTTCAGAATATCCTTTCAATACATATCAATATATATACAATTCATGGGGAAGAGGATGAAAAAATCAGAATATTTCCCGCTTCAACTTTCTAACTCACAGTCAAACTCTGATGACTGATTAAATCTATAGTCGTTAGTGGTTATTAATTTGAGTTTACAGTAGCAAAAAAAAAGCCATAAAAATAACCTTCTTCACCCAAAAAAAAAACCATATCAATAAAGAAAAATTCCAGGCAAGATTTTCCAAAAAAAAAAAAAAAAAAATTCATACAAAAAATCATACAAAAAATCCAAAAAATCAGTCCAGCTTTCTCAAGAACATATATCCTTCTCCCTTCTGTGTTCAAGAACCTCCCTAAGAACATTTTTGTCTAAACAAATTAAACTGACCATAATCTAAAGTTAGCGACTTCAAATTGACAACAAAAACAACCAAATTTGCAACATTCGCCCATAAAATTTTCGAGCAAAATTTCCCCTGTTTTGCGACGCACAAAAACATTAAACCCTAGAGCAATTTCAACAACAATTGGCCACAATTCAACAAAATCAATCATACATAGCAGCGATATACTACATCATAAGCACAAATTAGTCGAAAAACAACAACAAATCACCATTGCACTGTCGTTCTCAACCCATAAACTATAAACCCTAACTTGCGAAACTACACTATTCAAACACCACAAATAATCAAAATAAAGAAGTAAAAAACAAGTAGATTACTGAATAATCCTACATACCTCACAAAATGGCTGTGATTCTTGCTTTTTTTCCCCAAATATGGCTACAATCCAAACCCTTTTCCTCACCAAACCTCGTGACAATTTTTTAGAAAAGGAAAAGAATATGAACAGAGGAGAAAGAAGAAAGAAAGTCATACTTTTTTTTGGTGGGCCCCACAAGTTAACCCAATGTACTCAAATTTTAACCAATGGTACTCAATTTTTTTGGCTGGAAATAGGGTAAGAGTACCTAAACGGTGAAAAAAAAAATTTAGTAGTCAAACGGTGAAAAAATCAACAATTGAGGGCCCATTTGTTGTGTTAACTCTTATTTTTGGCATTTTCATAAATTTCTAATATTTTAAGCTTACTTTGCTGTTGTTTTATAATTTTTTAAATCAAACATTTTTACCAATACTATCTATTACTCCGTCCGTTTTTAAATACTTGCTCCATTTCTCCACGCGCGGACATTTAGGAAAAATTGGAGAGTAATAAAATATGGAGGTAGTGGGGTTGGTGGAAGAATGAAAAATTGTAAAAAGCAAAAGTAGTGGAGAAATTGGAGGAGAGAGAACATGAAATTAATAAAATATGATATTTGTTGGGTCCACTAGGTGAGAGAAATGAATAAATATTGTAAAAACTTTCCGAATAAAGAAATGGAGCAAGTATTTAAAAACGACCGAAAAAGGAAAGTGGAGCAAGTATTTAAAAACAGAGGGAGTACTAGATGAAGCTCGTGCACGCAATGCACGGTTTGTTTGAATTTTTTAAAACAATTTTTTTTTAATTAATGTGCTAAAATTGGTTATATATTAAGATAAAATTCCTAATATCAAAAGATAATATTTTATATTTAATTAATTTAAATTTAAAAATAACATTCAACAATTTTGCTTACGTGGCATGTGAATCATTTAATTATAATTTAAAATCTCATTTGTCAATTTTGCTTACGTGGCATTTGAATTATTAAATTATAAAAGATTTTAATGATCTTGTTTTTTAATTGGCTACTACTTAAATTTATAATCCTACATGGCACATTAATAATTTTTTTTATATTTATATTTATGTGTTAAAATTTGTTATATATTTAGATAAAATTTCCGATATTAAAAGATAATATTTTATATTTAATTAATTTAAACTGAGAAATCTCATTCCCCAATTTTGCTTACGTGTCATTTAAAATAATTAATTCTAAAAGAAATTAATAATCTCGTATTTAATTGGTCACCACTAAAAACTTATTATCCTACATGGCACACTAAAAAAATTAAATCATACGTGCCTCTCTTAAAACTCGGGAATATATATATATATATATATATATATATATTAGGCGTGACATGCCTACTACATAATTTAAATCGTCACAAAATCCACTACAAGAAAATTATCTTTTCGTAGCGATTATTTTGTAGCGATTATACATTCGCTACAATATACAAGTATGTTTGTGAAATAATTAAGGAAATCGTATCATTTTACAATCACCATGGTTTTCCCATATAAAATCGATATGAAAAACATAATAATGCATATCCACACTATTTTTGCACATTTATAAAATTGTGAGAAATCGTATCATTTACAATCGCCACTAAATCCCAAAAATCGATACAAGAAGCCTTTTCTACACTAGATATATCAATATTGTTTGACAAAGAATACATAAAATATGTCATAGTTTAGTGGTGAAACATTTAATACTTCCTCCGATCTTTTTTTATTGCACCATGAGGGATTTCACGCTTGTCAATGCATTACTTTAACTATTAATATCTTCAATTATACTTTTGTAAAAATTATAAAAATTTGCACTAGTAGAAAAATAGCAATAGGCAGCCCCCATATGGCACTGGTTCAGGCCAAACCGGTGGCCAAAACCGGTCTAGAAATGGGCGGGAATTTACAACATGAGAAAAGGCACCGGTTTGATCTAAACCGGTGCCAAAAATAAAAAAGACACCGATTTGAACCGGTGCCCTTGTTAGATTTAAAAAAAAAAAAAAACCGGTCAAGCTTTATCCTTAGCTGTCCTTTATATTCCTAACCCTAAATGAGAACTCAGCTTCATTCTCTCTTATTATTAGCTGCCTCTCTCTTCTCTCTCCTCCTTCTCTCTCCTCTCTTCTCTGTCATCCTTCCTTCTCGATCTCTCCGACCACAACGAAACCTCAGATATCTTTTCTATTGTCCTCCTTCTCTGTCCGATCTCGCTCTCCTCTTCTTTCCCCCTTCTTCTCCGACCTTTCTTCTCCCTTCTGTCTTCTGCCCACCACCGCTACTAACCACCGCTGCCACCTACATGTTTCTGGGTTTATTATTCGAGGTAAGGGTTTACTAACCACCGCCGCCACCTGCATGTTTCTGGGTTTAATATTCGAGGTAAGGGTTTCTGGGTTTGATTATTTTTGGTAAATGCCTTGGTTTTTTTGGTTTGATTGTTGTAATATTGTTCGAAATTGATGGGTTTAATTGATTTTTGAATTTTCTGGGATGATTTTGAATTTTTTTTTTGCGTTTAATTGATTTTCGAAATTGATTTTTCTGGGTTCTGAGTTTAATTGATTTCGAAAATTTTGTGAATAATTTTAATTGACTTTTCTGGGTTATGAGTTTAATTGATTTCGAAAATTTTGGGAATAATTTTAATTGATTTTTCTGAGTTCTGAGTTTAATTGATTTCGAAATTGATTTTGAATTTTTTTTGCTTTTAATTGATTTTCGAAATTGATTTTACTAGGTTCTGAGTTTAATTGATTTCGAAAATTTTGCGTTTAATTGATTTTTCTGGGTTCTGAGTTTAATTGATTTCAAAAATTTTGGGAATAATTGATTTCGAAATTTTTGGGGTTAATTGATCTTCGAAAATCTTGGGGTTTAATTGCTTTTCAAAATTTTGGGGTTAATTGATCTTCGAAAATTTTGGGATTTAAAACACATTCAAAAATTTTGTGGTTAATTGTGTTTCGATTTTTTTGGGTTTTTTTTGGTTATTTATTTATTTAATTATTTTGATTTTTGAGTTCGTACATGATGCATGAGTTTTCTGGGTTTTTTTTTTTTTTTTGCATTTTTTTTGTGAGTTTTATTGATTTCTGGGTTTTAATTGATGCAGGTGTTAATTGATGCACAAGGATTCAAGACTTTGATTTTGGAATATTGTTTTTGATGTTGTAATTTTTTATTTGTATTTTTTTTATTTGTATTTTTCAATATCAATTTAACGTTGAATTTTATTGTATGATTATAATTCATTGTATTTTTTTTATTTTTTTTTTGTATTGTACAATAACAGTTTAATATATTGTTATATTTCATTGTCTTCTGCGCTTGTTCTAATTTATATTTTGATGTTCTAATTTATTTTAGTTGATTTAATTTTTAAGTGAAAAAAGGCAAAAAAAAAAAAAAAAAAAAATTGGGCAGTTTTGGCACCGGTTAACCAGTGCCAAAACCAATGAAATAAATATTTTGGTTCATTTTTGGCACCGGTTAACCGGTGCCTAATTGGGTATATGACACCGGTTCGCTAAAAAGGGGGGTATTTGGCACCCCCCACATAGGCAGAGGTTCAAACCGGTGCCTTAGATTGGGTTTGAACCGATAAATCACAAATGATGGTCAAAGAAGGTTAAGTGAATAGTGTAAAAGTCCTAATGGTGCAATAAAATAAAAGCGGAGGAAGTATAAGAGTTTGAGATTTCATGTTCGAATCTTGTACAGATCAAATGTATGATTTTTTTTTTTTGAAGAAAATGAGTTCAACTAACATTTGTAACGATTATAATCGCTACAATAATCACCACGATTGGATGTAGTTTTTCGAATCGATTATTAAGGCAACGGGGGATATTGTATCGAATGACCATTCATTGGGAAAGCTTTTTGTTGCAATTACAATCGATACTAAAGGTTAAAATAATCGTTACGTAAAGGTTATTTTCTTATAGTGATCAAATCAATTCTTACCTAAGTTTGTATCAATGATATATTTTAAAACTTAATACATAAATAAAAAGTTTATCTTCAAATTCAATAAACAAGTTGAGCACCGTACGGGGCACCAAACTAGTAAAAATATAAAATCATACAAATAAAGTTAGGTGTACACCTTATACGAATTAACATAGAGTGGCGAATTCAGGAAATCTAGAAAAAAAATTAAAATTAAAAAAAGCTTTATATTATATACTAACATTATCATTAGCCTTTAAATTTTAAAAATTCATTTTTGTTGATGATTTTTCATTTAACGAATATGGAATAAATTATATTCTACTTATGAATATGATCAAATTAAAAAGTATTTCATAGGTTTAACAGTATTTTTTGAATGTATTCCTCTGAATTTACTATTCAAAAGTAAATATAAAACTATAAAATTATTTTATTTAATATAAATTATTGATTTACTCAAATGAAACTAAATAGTAAATATATTTATTACTTACCAGATAAATATGTGCATTGAAAAGTGCAACAAAAATGGGAAGAAGTTTTATCAAATAAGGAGTTTTTAAGAATAATATTTTATTTTTTTTACAGGAAGAATAATATTGTATTATTATTATATTTGGTATTTTGTACGGTGATTAAAATAATTAAAGTATAAGTATATATATTTTATAATTTAAAATCTTAAAATTCTACTAATTTGTAAGTTTTTATAACTTAAATGAGAGTTTTTTCAAAAATTATATTATGTACAAATATTTTTTTTTTTTTGAAGGAAATATTATGTACATATATAACTGTAGTTGATTTGTTTCAAAAAAAAAAAAAAAATCTAAGAGACATGTTTTATATAAACAAGTCTCTTTTCTTTTAACAAGGAAATTATAAAAAGAAAAGGTTAGAACTTAAGAGACCTATTTAATATAAACAGGTCTCTTTTCTTGTAAGTTGGAAACAAGTGGGATTGTTGGCATTTATTATAGCAGACTCTAAGAGACCAGTTATTTAAGATAACATGTCTCTTTGAACTTCTTCTTCTTCTTCTTTTTTCTTCCAGGGGTTTCCAGGGTAGCATGTGCTACCCCTTGTGCCTTCATAGATCTGCCACTGTTCACAGAGGGCCATAGTTCATAAATATTCTTGGGGCAAACTTGCAAACTTGTACAGTTGTACTCGTAAAGTGTATCTATTTTTTCAATAATAATGCAATATATGGCTTTCAGGATTGACATTCGACTCCTTACCTTTAAAGTATTCGATTAACAAGAAAATGACAAAAGCCAGCCACAACTAGACCTGGAAAATGGGTCATTGGGGTCGGGTATGGGTCGGGTCGGGTCAAGTTCGGGTCAAAAGATTATCGGGTCAAGTTCAGGTCGGGTCATTTCGGGTTTCGGGTTGGTTTCGGGTCGACTGATAACGGGTCGGGTCGGGGATCGGGTCAACAGTTCGAGTCGAGTTTGGGTCGGGTCAAGTTTGGGTCGGGTCAGTTTGGGTCGGGTCAATTTTCGGGTCGGGTCAATTCGGGTCAGGTCAATTTTCGGGTCCAATTTCCGGGTCAACTTCGGGTCGGGTCAACTTCTAGTCGAGTCATATTCGGGTGATTCATTGGGTTAAATTCAACTCTGTATATATATTTATTTATTTTTTGACGAAAAACTCACTATATTTATTAAGGCTATTTTTTTCATGGATTATAGTAATTTTTTGACTTTTATTAACTTTTTTTTTTGTGTGTGTGTTTAGAACTTTAGGCTAAGAATCACTTTCAGGATCTCCTGAAACTAAGAAGAACTAATTGAGTTATACCTCACTCTCTTACTGATCTTAGTTTTAATACGTACTCTTATTATCATTGTCATTGTTGTAATAATTTCTTTGAATTATTCTTGTACTCCCTTCGTCCCAAATTACTCTTAACGATTTGACATTTTACACTATTCACACATCTTACTTTGACCATCTTTTTTAGCTATTATATGAAAGTCAATGTAGTCAGGTAAGATGTTGTTGGGTCTATTTTAATGTATAATTTCCTAATATAACTTTTTATACTACCTTCGTTAACTTTTATTTGTAACTTTGGGGTATTATTTGTGAGATATAAAATATTCCAAAATTGCAAATAAAAGTTAACGGAGATAGTAACTTATATAATTATTTACTAAAAGAATTTAAAGGTCGGGTCATTTTCGGGTCGGGTCAACTTCGGGTCTTGGGTCAACTTCGGGTTGAGTCGTTTCGGGTCTTGGGTCAACTTTGGGTCGGGTCATCTCGGGTCGGGTCGTTTCGGGTTGGGTCATTTTGGGTTTCGGGTCAAGGTCGGGTCAGTTCCACTTCGGGTCGGGTATGGGTCGGGTCGGGTTAATTCGAGTTTTGGTTCAATTTCGGGTCACTGGTTTCGGGTCGATTTCGGGTCATGGGTCAGGATTGCCAGGTCTAGCCACAACTATGTTAAGGACTTGCGCTACGTGGGCGGTTGGGAACTTAAGTAGGGTGTATGAAGCTCATTTCTTTTTTTTTTTTTTTTTTTAACAAAAGAAGCTCATTTCTTATAATAATGCAGGTGTTAGTAAAATTCAGGCGTCAGTCAACAATTTACCACAACCCATATACTTGTATATCATATGAAAAACAATGAATTTTTGAGATTATGTATACACTTCTTACATAAAATAGACTTTCAAATCATAATCAAACTAAGCAAATTTACAAATTTTTTTATGATGGGAATTCTAAATCAAAATCTTACACGATTGGAACTTGGAGCTACTGAACTAAGAAGCATCAGCCCTAATTTCATTGCGCTAGAACAAGTTATGTCAATAAAATGTACTATAGCAAGTATCCATATTCATGCATCTCATAGTATATGGTTGATCTTGAATCTGAATACCATAACACTGCCAAAATTGCGCTTTTCCAAGCCAGTATAATTACTACATGAACACTAGATCAATCTAGAGCCTGTCTAGTGTTTTCTATCACCTTTATCAAAGAAGATAGGCACAAGGTATCATATTCACAATGGAAAGAAGACTCGTTGTCAGAGTTTGCAGAAATCAAGACACCGTTCCTAAAAAGGTAAGTCAGACTGGATTCGGGTTGGTTGTATGAAGAAGGATCGACTTTCTTACAAAAGTCCTTCCCTGAATGACAAACACATTCAACAAGATTTGCCAGCTTATTTTCTGAAGCCTCACATTGACAAGCATTTTCTTCCTGGGATTCAAGCTTTCTCAGACCTCCATTTTCAGAATTACTGCATCGTTTAATGCTATACAGATTCCTTATAGTTGAGCACAGACTTGAAGATAGTGCTGAAACAAGATCATGGACATCTTCCACGGTGCAACATGACGAAGATAATTTCCACTCTTGGGCGATTTTTTTCTTTAACAATTGTTGAAGAGTATAAATGCATTCACTGCAACAACTGTAAGAACATATAGCTTCAGACTCTGATGACAAATCATTGCTCTGGGAAGACTTGGAATCATGGAGCTGAAGATCACTTGTACAATTTCCAGCTTCAGAAGAAATCTCATTTTCCACCAAGGGTTCAATAATAGTTTGATTGCAGAATTCACTGGATACATGGAGCCCAGTGTTTTCAAGTTTTTCAGAGTTACAAATACCAGCTGCTGGTTGATCAAGAGATTCTGTACAAGCCAATTGACTAGACTCTTGTTTAGTCAGCATGCGTCCACCAGTGACGGAAATATCTTCAAAATGTTCCAACTCTGGCTCTTCACATCCTGTAAATTTCTGGGGTATTATACTATATGATTGATGAACAGAATCCACACAGTTGGTACTAGACACCATATTGCTCCCTGAAAGTATTTGATCGGCGGATTCCTTTTCTTCGTTTATAACCTCTACTTCAGAATATACATCCTGTGGAACATGGGTTATAGCCGCAGCTGTTGGTCGAGACTCTTCAATAAGGCTCACTGCCTCTGTCAGATTGTCATTGCCAGAATCAATAGTTCCCACGTTTGAATCAGCAGGTTGAGCACTTACAGCAATAGTTTCTGGCAGCACTACTTCAAGTTCTGGCTGCTGGAAACCATTACCTGGAATATTAGGCTCTTTTTCAACCTGGATAGAATTGTCACCTGGTGTGTGTAACGGGTTTTCAGCACTACAGGCCTGCAGGCTCTCCTCAGTTGGGTCTTCTAAAACTTGCACAGTTTCAGGACACTGAGCACCATTTAGCTTCGAGTTCACAATTGATGTTTGAGCATCTGCCTCTAAGCTGAAATTCAACATTATTTCTGTCAGACAATTCAGGCGAAACAAGAGAATTTACCAGCACATTAATGAAACCATACCTTTTTAATGAGTAAGACCAGCTGTTAACCA